AAAGATATTAATACACTCAGAATTCATTAAGTCAAATATGACAGATAAAATACGAGAAAATTAAAAGTGAGAGAGAAATTGAATATAAAACTTTAAAAATTTTCAGAAAAGAAGTTTAGTGTAAACATTAGCAAGGAAAAACTACCACAAAAAAAAGAAACACAAAAGAAAATGTGGAAAGCTATCTATTTTGTTCATTCACAATAAATAATATAAAATTATATTTTCTTTCTTAAAAACAAAGAATTGTAGACTAAGTCTATAACATAAAATGGTGTTAAGGTCTAGATAATAGTAAGGAGCTAGATAGAAAAAAATACTAGAATACTAAACAAAATAAAGATATTTGCCTATATTACTATAAGCCAAAAAGACTGTAAGAAAAAACTTAATAACATTTTATAAATAAGGAAGTTATTATTTAATAGAAAAGGGGAATTATCACAAATATATACCAATTTAGAAATGATACGCAACAAAAATATAGCCTCTAAATATATAAAGCAAAAACTGAAAAGAATACTTTGACATCTCCATAGTCTTCATAGTCTTAGTAAGTATATTTTAATTCTCTTTTCTCATAGAATGACAATTCAAACATTCATGTAAAATACAAAACAAATTTGAACATCACAATTAACATAAGCAGTATTGCATCCCAATGTAAAAGAATAGCTATTTCTTTCAAAGATAGAGAGATATTAACAAAATTGACCACCTACCTACTAAGCAATAGAGGAAGCTTTAATATCAAAAACTGACATACTGAAAGTATTCTCTGAACAAAAACAGATTAAAAATCAATTTAAAATACATATATATCTATATTATATATCTACTTATATATATGTATTTAATTATATATAACATATATAATTCAGTAATTCAAGAAAGCTCTAAATACGATGCCAATGATATAATGAAGAAAATAAATCCATTAAATAAATACATTAGTAAAAAAGTTTTGAAAAATAAATAGCAAAACATTAAACTTAAATTATTACCGAAAAAGATAAAGAATCACAAAAGATAGAGTAGAATTTATAGAAAAAAGAAAACAATAGAATCTAGAGTAACAAAAGCTAATGCTTATTACATCTAAATTAGACATGTCACTTAATATTAGTAAAGAAAAGAGATATACTACAATTAATATCAATTAAAAATGGAAATTACAGTAGATATTTTTTAAATATTTACATTATTTTAATAGAAGTAAAATTTAGATTGACTTCTCAGCAGCAAAAATAAAAGTCAAAATGCAGTGGAATGATATTTTCATGTGTCAAAAGAACACACAAAAAAATAAAAATAAAGCCAGAGAAAATGTATTTCAAAAATGGTATGCCAATATTATAAAAGAAACTGAGAATTTGTCACAAGCAGGTACACATTCTAGGAAATTCTGAAAAAATGTCCACCAAGCACCAAGAAAATGATTTCAAGGATCATAGGTCTGGGACATAAAAGAGACTTAAAAAAAGAAAGTGGTAAATATGTGTACAACCGTATATTAATTTTGACTGAATAAGCTATAATAATGTCTAAGAAATGTAATAAATATATAGAGAATTAAGAAATGTAAAAATTATATTTTTGTCTTTGTATTTCTAAATTGAGAGTGGAGCTATCTGAGACTCTCATGATAGATATAGTGCTATTACACTGTCAATTTCATGAACTCAGATCTTGTGACTTAATTATCTTTGCATCTGCCATCACCTAAAATAGTCTTTGGCCCAGGGACATAGGGCTTCTGTGGTCAATTTCTTGGACTCATATCCTGGCTCTAACTCTTACCAATTATAGAACCTTGGGGAAATTCTTTAACCAATTGTGCTGAGTTTTCCTGATCTGTAATGATAAAGATAATAATAGTTCCTATATCACAGTACTGCTGTGAGGATAAAACAAGATGTGCCCAGCACAAGATGCCTAATAATCGTTAGTTAATTCTTTTACATAAGAAAATACAGCTTTACCAGGTAATTAATTGTATTTTTACATAACTCACCTGCACATATAAATATTATTTGGCCTGATATATTTAATAACATCTATTTATAAACTCTCTTAACTATGTTAAAAGTTTTTAAAATTCTCTTATTTTCCAACTTTGAAATCATTTACTTCTAGAAGAATGCATGTAATATTAGCTGATCTTGTAAAAACTATTTTAAGAAAATTATTTCTGAAGAAATGAGAAGGCCCAAGTCAATTTATTTTCCTTTGTAGTCAGCAATATTTCCAAATGTTGTTTTTCTTACTTTTATGCCTTGAAAATGAGGTTTTCATCTCAGTTCACTAAACATTTCAAGATCATGCTGCAATCATTAAAACTATGAAGATCTATAATTTAAAGGTGCGTCCAGTCAGTGTCAACTCATCTGATGAGCAAAGAATATTGTAAAAAAGGCTTTTATGAAAGCCATTAATCACTATCGTTTAGTGCAAAATTGAAAATGCAAAACTTTTAGCAAAGATAAATATCAAACAATGACATTAAAATCATCATTCAAAAAATGGCACTGGTTTTGCCAAATACAATTACTGACTGACCATGTGATATTTACATAATGAGATTTAGTAACAAGGAAACATTATATATATATATAATGCCACTATTCTTTGTGAAATTGTTTTAGCAATCTAAATTAGCTATTAATAACTTTAATAGTCACAAAAACACTAGATACTCAGTCCATTGCTATTTGTACTCAGATTTTATCTGGTATATTCCTTCTTTTATTCCTTTTTCACATTTTAGACCATATCTGGAAAACACCTGCATAGGATTCCATTTAAAAGAAATGGTATCAGTGATAGAAGTGTAAGTTCAGGTTTACGGTACCTTCTAATTCTTAAAAAGAGTAAACAAAAGTATACACTCACTATTTCACTTTTAGTATATTTGCTTTGATCATGAGTATTGTATTTGCAAAGTACACACAGTATAACTTATATCCATGCAACACTTATAAATTGCTCTAATACTTCTTGTGAATTTCATAAGAACCCCGTGAGACAGGTAGATCATGTGCCTCCTTACATTTTCAAGAGGAAGTAAAACAGGAAAGAGAACTCTGTATAGGAACATAATGCATATCACGGCACCCTCAGAACAATTTAATATAAGAATAAATCTGAGCCTTCACAATTATACTGCTTTCTCTTTCTCTAATTCTTCCTTAGCTCTAATTAATATGAATAGAACTAAATAAAAGAAAAGATCTGTCATGTTTACAGAACAAAGACTTTAGAGTTTTAATATGCCTAGTCTCAAAATTGGTTATTAGATAAAATTTAATTTCAGTAAAAATCTTAGCAGTCTTTTTATAGGAAAAAAAAAACAAAACTAACTCATATATAGTGATAGAAATCAGAACAGTGGTTACATGTCCGGGGTTGGGTAGAAACTAATTGGAAGCAGATACAAAGAAGTATCTGAGAAGATGGAAATGTTCTATATTTTGAGTGGCATAAGTGGTTACATGGTTAGTATACTTGTCAAAATTCTAAGGATTGTATATTTAAGAGTTAGATTGTGGATTGATCCACAATATGGTTATTCTTCATTTATGTGGTTAGCACATCCCATTTGATCAGAGATTTCAGTCTGGTAACTCAGTCCTTCTGTTTAAATATATAAATAACAAAATAACTCACACTATTTATTCATAAGCCATCCCATAAGTGAAAAAATAAAGGATATACAAAAGAAACCAAACATTGTAAACCCTCCCTCAAGGAATGAATCCAGTAAGAAATACTGCTTTTTAATTTGCATTTATTGGACTACCAGTTAGATAAATAACAAGTGAATTAGATCTTTACATAAGACTCTTTAATTTCATTTTTATTGTAATAATTGTTTTTGTTTTATTTTCCTCTTTGTATCTTTTTTCCCATTTTACTATTGGGTTTCCAGACTACTTTATTTATTTCTAGGGATTTATTTTTTTACATATAAATTACAATTGGTTATATGCATTTTCAATATTTTTTAACTTTGCATCTTTTTGTTTTGCAGAAATATATTTTCCTTTATGGAGTGTGCCTTATGTATCATATTTATGAAATAGGTATATATTCTTTTGATATCAATCATTTCTACTTATTTTCTGACTTTTATTGTAACATCTTTGTTTATCATTCTTTTTATAAGGAGTTTTTTTTTTTTAACTTTTTTTTTTTTTTTTTTAATTTCCAAAGGAGTGGAAACAGGTAGGAATGGTGAGAAGGAACATGTAAAAAACAAGAGTGGAAGTGAGAAAGGAGAAGTTACCTTTTTCGCTTCTGATTTCTATTTTATTACACTTTGTACAAAGTTGTGGTTGTAGGATATTGATTCTTTAAAATTGGGGGACTTGGTGTGTGACTTGGTGTGGATAAGTTTTTGTAAATACTACATACATTCTTGAAAAGAATGGGTAGACAATCCTGCATCTAGAGCATAGTCTAAAACAGACAAGCTTCCTGTTATCTTTCTGTGCTGATGAGCGGACTTTCCTCCAGTCCACCATTTTATTAAGGTAAAATTTTAACGAAGAATTTTAGGGTTATCAAATTTTCATTAATAGACAATAGAATTAAAAGTTTTTTACATGGATAAAATATGTAATGGATTATAATATTAAAATACTGACTAAAAACATCTAGCCTTAAGAATAAAAATATTTTTTGCTTCTATTAAATTAATAAAAATTATAAGAGCTTTGAAAATCACGAGTACACATAATGTATTTCTCCACTGGTAGGCAAGTCTGCACTTATTTTTTACTCCTTAAAAATTCTATATACAGTCTTTCATTATTTATATTCTGTTTATGACATGTATTAAGGAAAAGTTACTTTCTTAATTGCTTTTTCTCTTTATCTTAATTTGCAGGAATGTATCAAAGGGAATTCACTGCTTACCAATTTGCTTTCTGTACTGATCAACAGGAAGTTTTATAGTGGAGGCATCTTTTCTACCCATCTTTGATCTCCAAAATGCCCTCTGCAAAGAAAGAAAATTATGATGAAGTCCTAAATAATCAAAAGGAGTATCTACAAACATCAGGAATAATTATTTCATAGAATTCATTTTTAAAGCAATGGATAAAAATGCCTTTGACATTCCCATTAGATACCAGTAAAGAATACAAAATTCTTTCAAATAAATTATCAAGGGTACAATTGCTGGTAATTAAATTTCCCAATCATTTGATCTTGGTAATATTTTATTAAGTACTATCAATACTCTATCAAACCACACTGTTAGAGAGCATTATCTGAAAATGTGAAAATCATGTACTATTTATTCAGATGTTTGGGGCTGTATGCATACTTTTAATAGTATGTTTCTTCCAATTACCTACTATGCCATACAATAAGGCTAAAGTTTGAATCTCAGGTATTTTTAATTTTGTTTTAAAAAACATGACACAGGTAATAAAAGTGCAGGAATCTGAGTTCTAGTTCTGCCTCTTTTTGTACACAGTATAAACTACTACAATTTACTAATATTCTCATACTTACTACATACATTATATGTACTTTTTTATTTAATAGACATCTTTCAAATCCTGTAATTCTTATTGAGTTTAAATATTGTGGCAGAGACAACCTACTCATCAAAATCCATATTCTCCTTTTCTTCCTGCATAGTGTCATACTGTATTTCTTAGCTTCAGTTCAAATATGTAATTGAATTTTTGTCAAGAAAGTGCGGATGGAAGCGATGTGTATCACTTGCAGACCTGAGCATTAAAAATCTCTCTTGTTAAATCCTGCTTTCTCTTTACCTTTCTAATTGGCTAGAATGGAAATGATCCCTAGAGAAACCCTAGGGGTACCTTTGTAGGAACACAGAACCTTGGTCAGCCTGGGCTGGAGGAGGGTACTCTCTCTAACTTGTATACCATCTACGTATTCTATTTAAAAAGGAATGAACTTTTTTATGATTGAGTCATTATACATTTGTGGGGTGTATTTATTACAAACCTACGTGTTCCCCAGATTGGTGCCTAGAAGTTGTTTCTCATTGCTTCTAGAACAAGATAAAGATGAGGTCAGACAAGAAATGAGAGCAGTGTTTAAGCAAAAATATAAGGGAATACAGAACTCAATAATTTGGAGACAACGAGATTAGAAAAATCAAATTCTAAAAGCCAAATAGTAGGAAATAAAAGTGAAAAAGGTGTTGAAGAACAAAGGTCCATTAAGACTTTTAGTTTAAAAAAAAAAAAGAGAGAGAGAGAAAGAGAGACAAAGAACACATTAAGAGATGTTCCTCTCTCTTCTGATCCTATTGTTTCAGATCACCTGAGGAAATACATTAAAAAGAAACATGTTTTATATTTTTGTTCCTATTTTTTTCTTCTTTTTAGTGATGGGTAATCCCTAATTGCAATGTTGAAAATTTAAATTTTATTTTTGTCTTTGAAATTGTCATATTCTATTCTTTAAGCAAAATTATATTCTACCAAATGTTGAAACAAAAGTGCCTAGAGAACACACATGTACAAGTGATTCACATTTTATTAGCTGCAACAAACACAAGAAGGTAAAAAACTTTTACTTTCCTAATAAAAACATTAAGGCTATTTTAAATGAACTAAAGAGATATCCATTCATGTGTAAGGTGCAAACTGTCAATGCCTCAGACATCTAGAACCTCTAAAATGTTCTGACTTTTCTTTGTTCTTCAAAGCCTTGCAAGTAATCACCATTTATTTTTATTGTTTTGATAGTTAGCAAACTCCCAAGAAATCCAGGGAGACATTAGCACATACAGCTTCAATTTCTAATAAGACAGCTATTTGCATACAAGATCAGCCACAATTTAAAATGTATTGTGATAGACATGGAAAGGGAATAACAGATTTATATTAGCATGTACAATATCAAGACTGTTTTCACAATTTAATTCCTTGGAGAGTATATCTCATCACCTTCTTTTATAAAGAACACTACATTCTCTGAGGATCTAACTTGCTCTGAGATCTAGCTAAACTAAAATATGGATTAATAAGATAATATTTATTATTTATGAATTTTGCTGTAAGAATTTCAAATTAAATCATCAGAGAAGTTTTTAACATTCTTGAAACTTGATAACACATACTTAAGTAAGAAAATGCTAATTTTATTTAATATCTAAATAGAATATTAAAATATTTCATAATTAATTTTTTATTTAATTAAAACTTTATACTCAAGACAATATCAGAGCATTTTGTTTTTAATATCCTTTCTTAAACTATACAGCAATTTACCACATGTATTTTTAGGCATAATATATCACCTTTAAAAACAAAGAATTATAGAATTATAGTCAATCACATTTTGACCAAGTTATTTTGTTGCTCATTTATACATTTTCTATGAAATCTAGAAAGAACGAGTAAAGAAATAAAAGAAAAACCTGAAGCACATATTCCTGCTTCCAGAAAAAGCATTCAATCCAGACTGTGACATTAAAATACAAACATTAAAAAACAGGTAATTAAAAGAAAAAAAAACCCACAACCCACAACTCCAGAAAAAGTAATAATCTCAGTTTTTAAGGCTAAAACATAAGAAAATTCTTACCTAAGTATGAAGTTATAAATAGGCAGAAAAAATATTTGGTTATGGCTGGATCATGATTGAAAACCAATCATGAAAATACAACCACATGCTAGATGTTGGGAAGAATAAAGTAGTGAATAAAGAAGACACTAATCCCTGATCTTATTATGCATTCATTGTTTCCAAAGTAATGTTTTAAAAATTCATAACTGATCATGTAATTAACATACTTCATTCAAATGATGGCCTATTTCCTAGATAAAGCAAAAAATCCTTAGTATAAAGAACCATTAATGACCCAGGTTTCTTATTCATGCCCTACTAATGTTCTAATGCACCAAAATTCCAGCTTTTAGTTCCATGATTTTGACAGGCTCATTCACATTTTAATGAACTTACTCATGTTCTTCAATTTACTTTAAATGTCACTTCCATATTTTCCCACTTGTAGAATCTACATTTTAATATTTCAAGCAAGGGTACATAATTCAGATCTCTAGAGATAATTCTCCATATTTAAAATGTGAAGAAAATAGCTAATTTGAAAGACTATCAAAGTGTGGTACAGCATCCAAGTGAACTATGTGTACATAGTATATGTCATTACATATTGAGATGATTGAGATAAATCATTAAAAAGATGAATAAATTGATATTATATAAAACTGGAAAAATAAATAGTAGTCTTCCTAATGTTTTCAGGAAGCAAAGTGACCATTTCATCTTTACCTCACCAAATCTATTTCTTTTATAGCTGCAGAAAGAATATGTAAAAACTTGAATATGTGAAAAGGTGATTTCTAAATTCTGATCACTACCAACACCGACACAAAAATTCATAAGAAAAGTAACTACAGAAGATTTATTGTGTAACCCCAAAAACTTGTGTTCCAGGAAAGTAATCATAGTCATTGCAATTCACCCTTCAGCCATATTATGAAATAAAATGAATACGGTATCAACAAATAGTGCTGGAACAACTGTATATCCTTATGGGAAAAAAACTAACAAAAAAACCTGAACCCTTATTTCAGACCACACATAAAAATAAATTGAGGATAGATCATAGATCTGAAAAAAGAACTAAAACAATAAAGCTACCAGGGGGGAAAAATTGTCTTCACAAACTTGGGGTAGGCAAATATTTTTTATAGAGAGCACAGATATTATAGATCATAAAAGCAAAAAAAAAAAAAAAAAGGATATATTGGGCTTTATTAAAATTAGTTTCTGTTCATCAAAAGATACCAGTAAGTAAATAAATAGATGAGTTGTAGACAGGAAGTAAACATTCATAATACCTGTATCTGACAAAAGAACTTGCATTCAGAATGTATGAAGAACTCAATAAGACACAAAACCCAATAAAAATGAGTCAAAGACTTGAAGAGAAACTTCACCAAAGGAGATATACAAATGGCAAAGAAGCACATGAAAAGTTCTCAACACCATTAGTAATCAGCAAAATGCAAATTAAAATTAGAACTGAGATATCACTACCTACTAGAATGATTCAAATGAAAATTTACTATATGAAATATCAGGTGGATGGGGAGCAACTGAAACTCTCAAACATTGTTGAAGGGAATGTGAAATCATATGACCACTTTGGAAAATTGTTTGGCAATTTCTTACAAAGTTAACTACCAGCAATTCCACGCCTAGGTATTTATCTAAGAGAGATAAATATGAATGCCCATTTGTGGGGGGGGGAAGCTTTGTACAGGATATTCATAACATCTTTATTAATAACAGCCAAAAATTGGAAATAGCGCCAATACTGATCAACAGAAGAATTGATAAACTGTGATTTATTCACACAGCATAATATACTACCCAGCAAAGAAACCAATAATATTTAACAATGGAGATAAATCTCAAAAATACTACTCTGAGTGAAAGAAGCAATGACTCATTCAGACCTAAGCCGAATGGACGTTCTTCAGTTTTATGGGTCCTTATAACATTATTTAACAATGATAATCCCCACTCTTTCTCTAACATGCACATTGAAACACTTATTCCCTATGGGCTAAGGAATAAATAAGAGGTGAGAAAGCAAAGGTGAAAAGTAAAGACAAATGAATTACAAAATAAATAAAAAGAAAAGAAAGGAGAGGGACAGGATAGTATGTAAAGAAGAACTGAGGTTGACAGAATTATTTTTTTAATGCTTTGTTTTGTTTTACTTTTGAGGGCTTGTTTTTGAATATAGATGGAAATTTGAGTCAGCCAAAATAAGTGGAAGGAGCCAGTGGAAAGTGAGGGGGTGAAGATACCAGAAAAAAAGTAGAACATGATTGAGGTTTCCAAATAGGTAGGAAGAAAGAGAATTCAGTATAGATCTAAGAGAATAATCATAGCAGACTACCTCTTGCACTTTGACAGGAAAGAGAAAAATTGGATGGGTGAAAATAAAAGTAAGATTTGAGGTTTGGTAGCCCA